CTCATACCACAGTTAATAACATACCACAGCTTAAAACTTTGTTTTGAGTTTTTTTTAAATTATTTATTTATTTATTTTTGGTAAACCCCACTTTCAGTGGTTTACATTTATTATTTTTTAAAAATTTTTAATTAAATCTTTATTGTTCAGATTACATTTGTTCCTCTTCCCCCCCCATAACTCCCCTCCTCCCAGTTCCCGCCCCACCCTCTGCCCTCATTCCCCACCCACTGTCCTCATTCATAGGTGCACGGTTTTTGTCCAGTCTCTTCCCGCATCTCCCACTCCCCTTTCCCCCCCAAGAATAGTCAGTCCCTTCCCTTTCTATGTCCCTGATTCTATTATAATCACCAGTTCATTCTGTACATCAGATTATTTATTCACTTGATTCTTAGATTCACTTGTTGTTAGATGCATGTTTGTTGTTCATAATTTGTATCTTTATCTTTTTCTTCTTCTTCCTCTTCTTAAAGGATACCTTTCAGCATTTCGTATAATACTGGTTTAGTGGTGATGAACTCCTTTAGCTTTTCCTTATCTGTGAAGCTCTTTATCTGACCTTCAATTCTGAATGATAGCTTTGCTGGATAAAGTAATCTTGGTTGTAGGTTCTTGGCATTCATCACTTTGAATATTTCTTGCCATTCCCTTCTGGCCTGCACAGTTTCTGTTGAGAAATCAGCTGACAGTCGTATGGGTACTCCCTTGTAGGTAATTGACTTTCTTTCTCTTGCTGCTTTTAAGAGTCTCTCTTTGTCTTTTGCTCTTGGCATTTTAATTATTATGTGTCTTGGTGTGGTCCTCTTTGGATTCCTTTTGTTTGGGGTTCTCTGTGCTTCTTGGACCTGTAAGTCCATTTCTTTCACCAGGTGGGGGAAGTTTTCTGTCATTATTTCTTCAAATAGGTTTTCAATATCTTGCTGTCTCTCATCTTCTGGCACCCCTATAATTCTGATATTAGTGCGCTTGAAGCTGTCCCAGAGGCTCCTTACACTATCTTCGTATTTTTGGATTCTTTTTTCATTTTGCTTTTCCGGTTGGGTGTTTTTTGCTTCTTCACATTTCAAATCTTTGACTTGATTATTGCACTCCTCTTGTCTGCTGTTGGGTGTCTGTATAATATTCTTTATTTCAGTCAATGAATGCTTAATTTCTAGTTGGTTCTTTATCACAACATCGAGGGTCTCATTAGTTTTCTTGAGGCTCTCATCAAGTTTATCGGCAGCTTCTAGCACATTATTGAAAGCCCTCAAAATTGCGTTTTTTAGCTCTATATCCTCCATTTCTGTCATGTTTTTTTTGTCTCTGCATTTTTTATGCTTTCTTGGTGCACCCCCTAGTGGTCTTTGTGCGCAGTCTTGTTCTAGTTAAGCCTTGATTGTTGTAGTTAATACTAGAGGGATTTGACCACCAGGCCGACTGGCTGTGAGAATCAGCTGTGTCTGCCATGGGAAAACTTCTGTCCTCTGGAGAGGTGCTAATCTAGCCTTTGCCTGAGGCTGTCCGGCAAATGGCTCTGCGCAGGGCTTGGGCGGGATGGGTCGCAGGGGATCAACAGGGCGGGTGGAGGGAGCAGTTATGGCTGCTCTCAGTCTCATTCCCAGAGGCTCTGCTTCTCAGAACCCCAGCAACCGCTGCAAACCTCGGAGAGAAAGCTGCCCTCACGTTCCAACCGATGCCAGACAATCCCGCTTCTCCCGTTTGAGTCTGAGTCCCTAGAGACTCACCCAGATCTGGAGCTCAGAGTCTGAGACTCCTCTGATTGAAAACGACAACGCGCCTCAGCCACCAGCGCTTTCGCGCGCACCTCCGCACCTTTGTATTTCCACACTGCGCCTCTTCTGAGCCTCGGTATGCTGTTCTCTCTCCTTCTAGTTGAAGAATCTCTCCTCAGCCAGCTTTCCTGTGGTTCTGGGTGATGTCCGTTCCGCTTTTAGTTGTATTTTTGAAGTGGTTGTTTGCGGCAGCAATCTCCGGTGTTTACCTATGCCGCCATCTTGGTTCCCTCCGAGTTTGTTTTTTTTTTAAATTGTGAAAGTATATAGACAAAATTCTGGATTCCAGAACTACTTAGGTTATTTATTTTATTTTCCCTTTTAGTGTAATTATGGTGTTAATTTGAATTTTGTTATGTTCATTTGATTTGTTTTAGTCTATTTTGCTTTACTAGCCACCTTTTCTATTCATGTTTTACTTGCAAAAGGCAACATAGTCAAAACTACACAAATAATTCTACCCATCTCCCCATCGCTTCTGCCCCAACTCCTGTAGATAAAAAATCCTATTAGTTTCTGATTTATTCTTCCTGTGCTTCTTTTTGCTCAATGGGTAGACAGTTGGATATTTTATTTCCCTTCATTTTTACATGAGAAGTAGCACGCTATAAATGCTCTTTTACACATTGCTTTTTTTTTTATTTAGCAATATATCTTACTATTTCTTTGTATTAATTCATAGATACCCTTGTTCTTATTTTTTTCACAGTTGCAAAATACTCAATTGATATTCTATAGAGACTCTTTAGTGGTCATAAAATGAGATCTTGCTGATGAGTGTCCTAAATGGTTCAAAGGGGTAGAATGGTAAATTTTATGTTTTGTATATCAAACTACAATTAAAAATTAAAGAGAGTGTAAAAAGTGATCTCTTAAGAGCACAGGGGAGAATCATAAAAAAATAATAATAATGTATGATTAAGTTAATACAGACAGTCCTTGGGTTACGTCGGAATTGACATATGTCGTTTCATGGTTACGTCGCCATCTCCCATTTATTTATATAAAAAAAAGTTCTGTCATTTCGACGTATGTACATATGTGTTTTATGTTTATTATTATTATTTTTTACTTCTTATTTATTTATTAAAATGTATTATGATTACACTAGAGGCCCGGTGCACGAAAATTGTGTGGGGAGGGGGATGGTCCCCTCAGCCCAGCCTGCACCCTCTCTAATTCGGGACCCCTTGGGTGATTTCTGACTGCTGGTTTAGGCCCGATCCGGACAGCCCTCTCACAGTCCTGGACTCCTGGCTCCTAATCGCTCACCTGCCTGCCTGCCTTGTTGCCCCTAACTGCCCGCCCCCCCCCGGCCTGACCACCCCTCACTGCCTCTGCATGCCGGCCTAATTGCCCCTAACTGCCCTCCACTGCTGGCCATGTCGCCCCCATTTGCCCCCTCCCTGCTGGCTGGTCACATCTAACTGCCCCTCCTCGTAGCCTGGGTGCCCCCTTCTTCT